GCTAGATTTTGGCATTTAGCAACTGGCATACGGTTTAATGTGAAGTCAACAACAACAACAACAACAACAACAACAACAACATATATATTATATATATGGTTGAGTTCAAGATGGACTCATATATATGGTTGAGTTCGAGATGGACTCATTTTCCTTCCTCCCTCAAATGTATGGCTGAGTCCGAGATTGACTCGTTTCCCGTCCTCCCTCGCCCCAAGCACACACACACCACCCACCAGCGCGCACGCTTTCCTTTCCTTTCTTCGGAGATCACGGATTCGCCGAGGCGAGATGAGTGTCGTTCAGGTGCAGGTGCAAGGGTGGGACAGGCCAAGCGGGTTGGTGTACGAGCCTATCGATGCGAACACAGGCGGCTGCAGCCAGCGACGGCGGCCGCGGAACGTCCTGGTCGCCTGCGCTCTTTTTGGCGCCGTCGCGCTCGGCATGGTCACGGTGAGGATGTCGTCCCCACTGGACCATTCCACCGTGCCGGGGTTGGCCAACCCCACAACCTTAGCTGCAGGAGATGGTGCGGCGAGGTCACCCAGGCAGCAGGAGCAGCAGTACCAGCCGCGCATGTCGTTGTCGACGATGAACAGAGGTCCTCTCGGGGTGAGGGTATCGAACCACTACCAGCACGTCAACACGACGCATGGCACGACGGACTTGTCTACATACCCGTGGGAGCACGTTGCAGAGCCGTACCAAGCAACAAGGCTGGAGCTCACAAGCGTACCGGAGGGAGTCATAGGCGGGTCGCACATCAAGTAAGTACGAGTGTGTGTTCGCGGTCGGAACTGCAATGACTCTTGGTTTGGATCATGAAATGAACACATGCATAGTCTAACATAGACAGGGCGGGCTGTGTCGGTTTCGGAGACAGAACTGGAGTCACGCGTGAACAATGCTGGTCTAGTGGGTAACCTCGCAGCCTTCTATGGGTCAGGTCATGGGTTCGAGTAGCGGCAGAGTGAGTTTTTTTCTCACTAAACATATCCTGGTCTAGGATGAAAGCGACCCGCTGCAAAGCTCGTTGTTAGTAAGCCAAAATTGACTTCGAAAGTCGCGAGGGAAGGGATTGCTGTACCCTTCTCGCGATAAAAATACCTCAGGAAGGAACCGCAGGAGGGGGTCCAGCCCCCCCCTCCTATGTGACCCCGGTTGGGTCTTCTAGCTAGTAGAAGTGGAGGATAGGGGCCAGAGGGGCAGAAGACAGAGTCCAATGCTGGGAGAAAAAAAAAAATGCGACGCGCTGCTGCTGCTAAAGCTCGTTGTTAAATGTTGTTGTTTTTCTTCACATTATTAGTAAACTTGATCGACTTCATAGGTAGAGAGGGAAGGGATTGCTGTACCCTTCTCGCGAGAAAAATAAGTCAGGCAGGAACCACAGGAGGGGGGTCCAACCCCCCCCTCCTAGGTGACCCCGGTTGGGTCGTCTAGCTGGCAGAAAAAATAAATGGAGGGTAGGGGCCAGAGGGGCAGACGACAGTCAGTGTCCCACCCTGGGAGCAAACCAAAAACCAAAAAAATGCCATAACGGAAAACTGAGCCTGCGTTGGTTGTTTGCGTCCCTCACTGCACTCGATAACCTGATTTGGCCCACTGTTGGGGTCACGCTTCTTCTGTGTCGCTCCACGTGATCATCTATCTCACTGTTTCGCCCGAGGCCATGCCGATCTCCGGGACGACTGGACATACACCCCGAAAATGCGAAAATCGTAATCACATATATATACCCCGCCTCCTGCTGAACAACAGCAGGTGGACACCTTTTGTCCTGTTTGCTCCGTTACTCCCATGCCCTGGTGCGTAGTGCCTGGTGCTGGTACGCTACCCTTTGATTTTTTCTTTAGGCGGGTGTGGGAAGCGTTTTTTTTTTTTGATCGGTTTCCGAGGGCTCTTTCTCGAACGATCGGTGCGGTACCTGTTCTTTTTGTTTTTTTGCCTTCCGACAAATAAATGCAGATGTACCTCAGAAAACTTTAACTTAATGTTTCATACTCTACATGAATATCGAACCAATACGAAGTACAACAACATATGTAGGACTTATTTCTACCGTCACTTACATCGTAAAAATATCTCCTCTTCAATTTGAAATAATACCAATGATAATCCTCATGGTATCCTACATGCGTTCGTAGCTTGCTAAAATACTACTGCGTTGATGTCCTCTTGTAAAAGCTGAAATTCAACAAATGCTTTGATCCATGCTACATCTCCGTGTTGGAAAAGCCCTTTCTTCTCCGTCCATGATAACATCTTACCCTCTTCTGCGCAAATCTGTCACATAGATACTCTCAAACAAGACGCCAACTTCAAACGAAAACGCGTTCTACGATGTGTCTACACTCCATCCCCATGTCACTGGCGTTGACTGGTTCGAGGTCGATCTTGTTCGCCTGCTTTCGGCGTCTTGACGCCCGCGCAATGCGAGCTTTTACCTCTGCACTCGCCGAGATATGGCCACCTGTGTAGCCACCGAAACGATCTGAAGCTCCCACGGCATGTGTCACAAGTTCATCGATGAACTCGTAAGCCTCCTCTCCAAGGCGGCCAAAGCTTTCCACGGCTAAGGTGGTAAGTTTATAGCTGCGTTCGTCAAAGGACACGTGTCCCGGACGAGCGTAGTGCTGACGCTTTCGCGCCTCGGATGCTTGGGCTGCGGTTCCATCGCTAGTCGCGCTGCCGTTCCGCAAGTGTACCTGTGCTTGCGGGTCTGTGTGTGTGACATCGAGGAGTATTCCTTTGTTGCGGTACCCCGGAGAAAATGCGTTCGTGAGGGCTCCTGGCCTGATGACGATGTCCATGCTCAGGTTTCTTTCCCCCGTGAGCGGTGTCCCGCTTTCAACGTTGTTGAGTAGCTTGGTGCGCCCGGCGCAGTTGTAGACGGCAAAAATAAAGGAACCGCGCGGCGAGTTTGCCGGCAACGATAAAATACAGGAAACTGCCCGCGGGTGTGGTTGCCCGCCGCATCTGTGATGTTCCGGAGCGTGATGGCTCTGATGTGTTGAAGCTGGTGCTGTGATAGCTGTTGTGATGGCGTGATAGCCTAGAGGCGTGACAGCCTGGCAGCGTGATGGCCGGTGGATATGTGTGGACACGGGCGTGATAGTTCAGAGCGTGATAGCCGGGAAAAGGAAGACGAAAATCTAAATTTACTTAGGGTTAGGGTTAGGGTTAGGGTTACGTGGTCAACACCGTTGCAGGCACGTATACCCAGGAAACAACACTATGTGGCAAAGATGGTACCACCATTCCCCCAATATACCACAACTGCGGAAGCCCAAAAATTCCCCGCTCCATCTTCTCGGAACGTTCCTTGGTTGCAATAATCTGTCAATGCTGTGAGTACATCCAACAAACGTCGTGTCTGACTCGAAGGCCGTTGAGTGCACTCGATAGTGGGTACTTTAACGGCTCGTGCATGTTGACCTGTGCTCCATCCCTTCGACAGGTCCTTGCGTGCACCGTTGTAATGATCTCGCCTTCCCTGCCTCTGTGGCATCTGGGACATCTTTCCAAGAACTATTCAACTCCAAGGCGCGTCTCGTCGCGTAGACGAATTCGTTCGATGGAATCTCTCGAGCTCGGTCGGTGGGAGCCGCTCTCAGGAACGCGTGTCGTCCTTGCCCTTGCGAGCTTCTCGTTCGTGCGTATGCCATGTTCCTGGCCTCTTGACCTCCGTAGGGGTTGTCCCTCGTGGGTGGTACCGCCTCCTGAGGGAGGTGCTCCAGAGTCTATGAACTTTTCAAGTTGTATCTTGTTAATCGCCTTGCCCAGTTTGTGCTGGGCTTTTTTCGGCGTAGTGATTCCCCATCGTGTTTTTTTCTTTCTACATATTTTTTTCTTTGTCCGAGTGGTTTGTACCCTATTTTTGTCTTGTTTCCCCGCGGCCGGGTTTTGAGACGACGGGCTCCCCATTTTTTGTGGACTTTAGTCTAGAGCTTATGTGAGAAACAACAACAACAACCCCACGGTCGGCACGCGTGAGAAGATCGCCTAATAGCAGTAGTGATGCTGTACTTTTATCGTTTTGACGTCGGAAACAGCACAGCAGCGTTGCTTTGTTGCGTGGGCGGGGTATGGACTTGGCACACACGCCTGGACAAGTTCGGATTCTTTCTCCCTCGCTCTTGTTTTACAGCAGTTGTTGCTGCTGTTCTTGGTTGTTTTCTTCACATCAAACTCATCAGGTACTGCTGCTGTAGCCTAGTCTAGTCTAGACTTCACCGTGTGCAAACCTTGTTCAACGATCTATGTTCCCTGTGTACACTACGAGTCTACTACTGCTTGTTTCCGGGTGCCGGACCATCATTCGATCGAAATCCCTACAGCGGAAGTAGACACGAACGCATGCCTCTGATGAAACACTTGCGGCCGGTTATAAATGACGAACGGGTTTGTGTGTCCGTGTGCATATGCCGCTGGATAATGCAATATCAAACAGGGGCGCAAGGCCGACGTTGAACAAGCTTGCCTGCCTGCAACTTGGGCGTTGCGTGCTACGAAGTATTTGATGATAAAAAATCAATCCCTCCCTTCCGTGGTTCTTAAAGAACATGCCAAAACGTGTTTGTTTGCGAGAGGCGAAAAGCGAGCGTTGTTTGTTTTTACGGCCGGTGTCACCACGGTTTAGTCAACCAGTGAACCTTCCGCACACATGCCTCTGTTTTAAGCACCAAAACCGACAGCATCCACCACGTCTCCTTGGTTCGGTAATGTTCACAATGCATGTGTACGTACGGGCCTGTGTGCAAAACTACTGTATGTACGCGGCGCATGCATGTGTGCGTCTCATGCTAATGTTTTCCTTTTTTGCATTGTTTCTCTCCACTGCTGTTGCTCGCCCCCCGGTCTGTCGCAACGAAAACGGACTATATTTTTTGCGACGTAACGCGGACGCGACAGATGGACGATCGAGGGCGAGACGGCCGCGGAGGGTGAAGACAAGTTTTTCTTCAACACGGTGGCGTTCACAACCCCGGGGAAGCACAAGGCAAGCGTCAGAATACTTTTGGGATGGACATTCATGAACAGCAGTCAGTCATACCGGTGACCGAGGTGGTAACAACGAAGTGGTAACACCGTAAACTTGGTAGTAGGTTGGCGTTCAATTTTCTCCCTGGATCGAAAATGTCTCCTCAGTCTGCGGCGGAAAATCGTGAAGTCAACCTTCCACGGCCAACGAGGGAAAGGGGTGGTTAAGCCGTTCTCGCGGCATAAATATTGAAACCACCGCAGGATGAAAGATGGAGCATAAACATAGAACTACTGTTACCTGCTGCGCGACCTTCGCCTGTGTCACCTTCCCCTGTGTGACCCCGGCTGTACGCCAACCTATTCACCGCAGCAAGGTGTGTGTGTCAGTGTTGGAGAGATTGGATTCGAACACAAACGCCTTCGATCGATCTTGTGTTTTTTCTTCGTCCAGGTCTCGATCTTGATAAATCGGCTAAAAAGTTCGAAAAGGGCAACATGCGATCTCGATCTTCATCACGATCAATCTCAACCAATGTCTGTCGAAAATCGCGATCACGCCGGTTTCGACAAGGAAAGGGAGTTCCTCAAATGGATTTAGTGGGGGGCGAGAAGGTCGAAAATATTCGAGATTGGTCGATTAAACCGGAAGACTGTTTCAACCAACCAAGTCAGTCTCCATCACCGGTGTGTATGCTGGCGCCAGTGAAGATGGCACGAACAGACCCGCATCGAAAGTATGCATACGTCCGAGTCGAACAGCCGTATGCATCCAGGGGGGTGCGGACGACCCGTCACCAGATGCCTGCCCTCCGCCCCCTCGGCTCCCTCTCAGAAAAATAACTCTTGTAGCTACCACTCGCTGTATAGTCTTGTGTCATCGAGTGCTGCATCCGTCCGATATACTAGAGTTGATAGAGAGTCGTCGGTTGCTTCGCTGGGTCTAGATTTCTTCCCGGATATCTCACTAGTCGTTTACCCGGTCACCTTTTGACCCCCCGGTCGTGCTCGAGTTGGTCACCTGAGTTCGACCGAAACACTACTACTCCCCTATTCGCTTTCGCACGAGGTTGCATCATCCCCCCGAGAAAACGGCAATAACGAACTACGTCTGTCTAAGGCCTGCTCTCGGTCATGTATGCTCCTTCACCACCTCGCTTTGCAGTACTTGCCGCCTCTTGTCTGTGGACCATAATCGACTGCTGGTACCACAGCAGTGTCACGCGCGTTTGTACCCTACCGCCGTACGTACTCCTGTGTTTAAATAGTGCGTCGTCACAGTGCAGAACCCGAGCACGATCAATACGGCGGCGGCAAGGACATTCGTCCTCGAACATGAGACCGCCGCCGCCGCTGGTGGCCACGGCGGCGTGGCGACATCCGATTCCACCACCTCGTACTCTGCCGTCGCCGCCACCACCAGCACCGCCGGCGAGATCTTCGAGTACGAGTTCGCGGTGACGGTCAAGTACGTGCGCCGAGAGATCCGGGCCCTGACGGATCGAGACAGGGAGACTTTTTTCAACGCGGTGTCCGTGCTGCAGCGGGTGCCGAGCGCCGTCGGCCGTGCGGTGTACGGCGACAAGTACTACAGCAAGGACTACTTCAACCGGATGCACCTGTACTACGGTGAGGAAATCGTCCATCTACCGAACGAAGAAGGCGATGATGCAAATGCACGATTGTTACGGTTAAATTTCCCGATTATGATCTTGCCGAAGAGAAAGTGCTGAAATCACAGCGGTGGTGTAAGCGTGCCAAGGTGAGGTACATGCGAGGGTTTGATTTCTCGTCAGGATATGTCCAGCTAACGGTCTATGTATCGATGGGTGTGTATTCGGATGGGATATCCACAAAACAGAAGTATTTTGACATGAACATCTGATTCATCTGATTATTATTGAAACAGCGTTTGTAGGAAGGAGCCGGACAATGCAAAAACATCGACGTTTTTCTCGAGCACGCAAAGGTCGCGTG